ACCTCGATTCTATAGCCATCCATGGTGACAATGTTGCCCAAGATGCGAAAGGAAGTGTAGATTGTAGTTTGATTGCTAAATTATTTTTGACTCAATTTTTTGCTTCTTGACATTTCATAAGTTTTCCAACATTTTCTACCAAACTGTGAAATCAAGCATTTCGGTTTTTGTTGTAGTTACTGCCTGTTTTCTTGTGGTGGACGTATTAGGGTGTACTGGGGATTTTAATAGACTGAAATCTTTACCATTCAGTTCCTTCAGGTTTGGAGTTACTCACATTTAGTCCTCAGAACTCTGGTGGTGAGAGTCAATGGGGAACTTGTGGCATGTAGAGATGTCTGTCAAATGGTAGGCTTGAAATTGAAATTCTGGTACAAATTGCTTTCTCTTGCACACAAAATATAAACACTGCTCTCTTAACCATCCTCCCTGTAATGCATTTAGGTCATTAATGAAAATGCACATGACTAACGCTGTAAAGAATCAAGGGTAAAGAACAAAAAAGTAAGTGTTGATAAATCTGCACTCTAATATTTTTATAGCCACATGCCAACTCCTTCCCTTGTGAGGGAAGTTCAGGCAAATCCGAAAATCTTATTATTCTTTGTAACTGGGATTCAACCAATCTTAATCTCAATTCTCCATTTGTAGTTTTAAAATCTATCCACTTTCTGCTCAAAGATTTTAGACCTGGAGATATTAAATAAGAGATAATGATTTCATCTCCTTTAATGGACTTGCTAACAAAGAATAAAAAAACAGAAATATCAACTATGTTATATCAAGTGCAGCAGAAATATGCTTAATATTTTAAGGCACCAATTCTGGTCAGCATTAAACTCTGAATGTGATGGGATGTCAGTCCCCTGTGGGTGAAGGGTGAGGATTGGGGTCGCTAAAGGTCAAAAGAGTATGGGTCCCTGGGAAGAGGGGGAAATGGAAGAAGTCACTGGCAGGACTTTTCCTTGAGTCTCCATTTCTTCTCTACCTTGGTCAGGTGGGAGACGGTGAGAATTCAGCAATTATAGGTGAGTCCCAGATGTCTGTCCTTGCCCTTCCTCTCCCTGATCTATCCACACTCGCTCCTTTGATAAGCTCTTCCAGGCTCATTATTTTTAAACACCGTCTATATCCCCAGCCTATAAATCTACTTGAACTCAAGCCCATATACCCGATTGTATGCCGGACATCTTTACTCGATCATCTGAGAAGTAACTTAAACTTAGTAAGTCCAAAACCAAAATTCAGTCTTCCCCAAGTCAGTAAATGGCAATTCACTTTTCCTGTTATTGACGTCAAAAACCCTGGAGTTATTATAATTCTTCTCTTTCTTACATTCCTAAAGCCCTACCTATCAATCAATTCTATTTCCTTTATTACAAACTACATGCTGGATTCAACTTCTTTACAACATCCATGGTTCCCACTCTGGTTCCACCACCTCCTTTAGCTCAGATTACAGCAATGCCCTCCCCAAACCGGCCCCCCCGCCTCAGTTCTAGACCACCTATAGTGCATTCTCAACACTGTAGCCAAAGCAGTCTTTTTACAATATAAGTTGGATCATGTCCCCCTCCATCAAACTCCCAAGATTTCCTTTCTCACTCTGAGTAAGAGGCAAGTCCTTAACGTGACACTACGCCATCTCTTGTATCTTGCTTCTCTAACCATCTGTCCTACTACCCTCTCTCCCACTCACTGTGCTCCAGGCTTTGTGCTGGTCCTTGGCAACTCCTGGCCCACTCTTCTCACGAGGTCTTTGCACTTGCTATTCCCTCTGCTGGGTGGCTCTTTCCTAGGTGTCCGTAGGGCTTACCTACTTACTTGTCTCCTTCAGGTCTTACCTCAAATAGTACTTTGTCAGTTAGGCTTTCCCAAACTACTCGTTGAAAATTTCAACTTTCTCATCCTCTCCCCCCACTGACATTTCTAATCTCATTTCCCCTCCCTAATTGCACTCATAGTATATACGACCACGTGACATTTATATTCATTTACTTCTTTGTTTACGACCTCCTTCTTCCCACTAGAATGTAAACTCTATGAGGGCAAGGATTTTTGCCTTATTTGCTTATGAACATTCCAGTTGCCTAGATGAGTGAAGAGCACACAGCAAATGTGTAGTAAATATTTACTGAATGAATTAATTCATCAGTAATTTCTATTAAAAGGCAGAACTTACTGTGAGAGCCTGTTACAGGTGAATTTGACATAGTCAGACAAGTTAGGGGGAACTTCATTTTAAAAAGTGAAACTTTAGCTAAGTTCTGAAGAATGAAGAGGCATTAGCCAGGAGAAGAGAGAAGGAAAGAAGGTTCTAGGTATTAAGAACAACATGAACAAGATGTCCTGAGGTGGGAGGGAAAACTCATCCTACAAGTGTAAGGATTCTAAGAAAATCTAAGTGGCTGGAGCAGAAAGAGAGAAAGGGACGATGTGGTATGGGACAAGAAGGCAGAACCAGACTGCAAGATCCTTGCAGGACACATTTAAGGTTTTATTCTAGGAGCAACAGGAAATCATTGACGATAAGCATGGAATCACATGAACTGTGTGTGTGTGCGCGCGCATGCATGTGTTTTAAAAGGTCTACTCAGGTTGCAGCACAGAAAATGTAATGCAGACAGGCACGAGTGAAGGGGGGAGAGAATTCTGCGGCGGCTACTAAAGGCACGCCTGTGAGAAATGACAGAACCTGGACGAGGGAGGCGGCATCGCTCAGGCCTTCTGAACCTTCCTCTTTTTCTTTTCTGCTGTTCCAGCCTCTTTGGTTCACTACCTGACCCTCAGGTTTTACATCCCAGGAGTGTGCAAGCTTTGCCCTCCTCTCTCTGCTGGGAAGAACTTGACATTAAAGAGCTTCACTCTATCATCTCTTGCCACTCCTCCACGTGATGCCTGCTCCACACACAACAGACATTTTCCACTGTTTTTATTTGTGTATTTATTTCAGCCATTTGACTGAGTTCCATGGTGATGGCAAATGTGTCAGGAACCACATTTTACTCATCTTGATATCCCCAGTAGCTGGCACATTGAAGTACACAATATTACTTATTGAATAAATGAGAAATTAAATTAATTGTTGGTTTGCTAACACAAAAAATATTCACAATGTTCTTCTCAGTGCTGTTCTGTAGACACCAGGAATTTTGGGGGATAAAGGTCTTTTCTCTGTGGTCAAAGTTTAAAAGCTAGGGATTAAGCCATCTATCAGTGGTTGACGTGCACTTGAAGCTCAAATATACACGCGTATACATGGAAAACACAATTGTATAAAAATAAACCTAAAATGTTCAAGTTATAGGAAGGTAAATAATGCATTTGGGGAGCAAACTGCCTACATAATTCTCAACACATTCCCTTAAATGACTGAAAGTAGGATGCAGCAAATTCAAGTGTTAGCTCATTAAAGAGGACCTAAAGAGCACAGAAGACCCATGTGGCTTCCCCGAGTGCTCTGATTCCCAGAGAGCAGGCTAAGCGTGATGAGATGCTGAGTTACCAATTTCAAGGGCAACTGTACAACAGTGACAGTCTTTTCCACAAAAGATGTTTAATAACCTACACTGATCCTTAGCTATTGTGGGGCATGATTTAAACTCTGTTGACTAAAAAACCACACACGTATGCACAGACTGATCTATCTCCACCCACACACATATTAATAAAGTATAGATATGTATAAATAAATAAAATCATAAGGCAACTCATGGAAAAGTGAGAAACATTCTTGGAGGATACAATGAATGAGAATTTTCAGCTACATGTGTTTTATGAAGGTAGCAAAGGTTAAATAGTACCATTTAAATGTTGTTCTTATCCAACATCCCCTCCAACTGTGTGGTTTTCCTGAAGTCACATAATTTTGAATAGAAGATCACTTTTCAGAAAAGTCATAAGCAGAAGATAATTCAAACCAGGCAACCAGACTCTCCTACCGCCTAACTATTAAAGAAGTCATGTAACTCAGTCCTGTATTAAAAATGCCTTACATGTAGTTTATACATGATAAGAGCAGCTTTTATGAAAACCCAGCTTTAAATTTTTGCCACATTGTTGCTTACACCAAATATAGTAAAGAAGCATCACAACTCACCTGGGAAACCGCTGCGCATCCAGGACCTCTCCTGACCAAGTCAGCTAATTCTTCTTTCTCTCCCTGTGTCACCCAAATCTGGTGCCACGGCCAGGATATTTTATATTTGTGATATTATACTAACACAATGCATCCTGAAATTTGTAAAATTTACAAAAATCTTCTAATGTGGTATTGTTTCCTGTGGGTATGAACTCTTTCAATTGTTTGACGTTCCATGTTTGCAACCACATTAAAGATTTCCAAGATACAAAACCGTGTTCTATATTTCTTATAGTTTATGAGGCATCAAAAAAAATTAGACCTTTGTTCTGAGAAGCAGTGAAATAAGCGTTAAGCACATTCACCACCAAATAATACAGCATAGGTGGACAGCAATATTCCCTAAAAAAAATAACACAACGAAAATTTAATCTCCGAGTATTGCTGGGAGTGGCTGAAGGTAGAATTCGGTGCCATACACTTCTTCATGCCCATCAATGTATTCATGTATTATCACCAGGACTTTTCACTCATGGCACAGGAATTCATGGGGTGCGTTCTCCTGGCAGACTTACGACGGAGAAGGAAGGAGAAAAGTTTGGGCACACTCATTTCTTCCTCTATGTAGGTGATGTTCTAAAGCTTTCAGAAAAAATAGACCCTTTAGAAATGTGAAAAGAATCATGTTCTTCTTTTTTCCTTTCTTTAAATATATGAGAAAGACAAAATATATGAGAAAAAAACAAATTGAACAAAACTGGCTTATTTTATGAAAGATTTATATACAGTATTCATTCTGCTGACAAGGGCAAATGTAGAATTATAAACTTTTTTTATCATAAACAAAATTAGACTTTCAGGATCATATGCTTATTACTTAAAAATCCCACAAATAAAAATTTCTTCATGGAAAAATAGAGATATTTTGAATACTAAAGTCCTTTATTCAACAACACAGAAATTTCACAAAAACAATTTTACTGGGCAAATTGAATGTGTTTTTTTAAAGTTTTTTTACAGTTTTGTACATGCCCCATAAGTAATTTTCTTTAATAAATACACTTTTCCAAAACTGCTTTTATATAATTGCACAAGCATACATACACCTTACACAAATATCTATTAGAAAATTCAATAGATCACTGCACAGCTCAGAATAAGAGACACCATGAAAGGAGTCCATTTGTGGCCCGTGTTCCTGAAGTATCTCTGACTGCTTGCAGTTGTGAAAATGGAACCCCTCCTAACATAGTAGCGTCTTTTATTCACTAGGAATACAGATCTCAGTGTGAAACTGCCAAATTTAATAAAAACAAAATCTGAAACATTTAGCTGTTACATGAGAACCGACGGTCTGACTCCACTGTGAATCTCGCCGTGATCAAAGGCCCACCGCGGCTTTCTGCTGAACATGTTTGACCCTGAATGGTGCTTTCAGTGAACTGCTTTCCTGTTTTCATTGTTTGATTACAGACATCACCAGCTTAAAGCCTTTATAAGCCTCAGTACTAATTGTACGGCCTACATGCCAGGGTTCTAAACGAAAGGAAGAGAAAACTTTCCTTTAGTGATCCCCTGACATTAATTCATGGGACGCCCCCGTCTCCTGCTCCCTATAAACGTGTCTAGAAGAAGGAAGCACCCAGGAGGTGTCTCTACATACTCTGACCCTGGAGGAACGCTATCCCTGTTTTCTCTCCCAAGGATGGCTACGTTTCCAGTTTGTAAACACGCCTCCCGCTGTACAGACAGGCAGAACCCCTCGAAAGCCACTTTGGTGCAAAGGCCCGCAACAGACAGGCTGCGTGATGACGCTCTTGTGACGTTAGGGTGCAGAGCGACAGCTGACGAGGAAATTGATTCACTCATGATCTCTCCCTGCCCTCCCCAACATTTCCCCTGCTCTCCCCAAATGCTGACTGACTGTAGTGTCTCATCATCTCCCCTAGAGAAGGAAGGCTCCTGCACGTTTGGACGTCTCCTACCAAGTTCTGCGTTTGGCTTATCTGATACGTAATTTTTAAGTTGTGTAGATAGTCCACACGATCTATATTGTGATTGCTGTATTGTGAATTTTCTTGGTACTGAATATGAACCATACAGTGAGGAACTATTAAAAGTTACGTTTCATTGGTATTTTAGAATCATGAAAAATGTAAACCTTTCAATCACTCCCTCAGGGTTACAATGATATGCTCTCCAAGTTCTCAGCACACGGCTTACGAGGAGGAGAACCAGAGGGGGCCGGAGGAAGACCACCTCCCTCCCTGTCTCCTTCTGTGTGCCTTACGTCACGTAAATAGAGCTTTACCTAAAACAAAGGAAACGGATGGTGTAAAAGAACAGTATCGAGAATAGACGTACGAGAATTTGTGAAAGCTGCACTCTTCCATTTCAAGAATCAACAGATTTTCTTTCATTTAAAAAACTGAACTGACATGTAAAACACCACATTTTACAATATACAGATTCATTAGTTCTTTAGGAAAACAAACAAATAAAAACACCTCAAGACCTGCAATCCTGGCACGTGTGCTGTGAAGTCTTTATTATACACCATTGTATACTGATGTTGCCTCCATGGAAGCCTGCTTCACTCTACAACAGCAATCATCATTTCCAAAAAGGAAGGAAATCTTACCGTTCAAGGGTGAAAATCAGTTTTCACTCACTTGTAATTAGCAAACTGGTTGAAAAATAAAGTAAAATAAAATAAAAATGGAACAAGAAAGAACCCATGAAGCTCTCATTGGTCCCACAGCAGAAACAGAAATTCTAACTAGAAACTTTTGAAGGAATATACAGCAAGTAGAAAGTTATCTCAGAATTAGCACACAGCGCGTCTTAGTCTGTGCTTGTTTAATTCTCGCCTGTGAACATGGAGAGGTGTCGTACACAAGGAGGTTTCCTCAGGGAGGCTGTCTGACCCTAACGGCACCTCGCTTTCACACTCCGGGCTGCGCATCCCAGTGCGGTCCACTGGCTTCCTAAGGAGCTCCCCGCCCTCACCCCAGGAATCCAGTGACGAAGCGCTCCTCCGCGGTTTTCAAAATGCCCTCTGTCGTATTATTTCCCATTCAAAGCTACAGCTAGCCTTTTAGAGGTATTCATCTGCTAGTCTCCCTAAAACTTACAGTCCTTTTCATTACTCTTTCTCTCCTCAGGTTATTTTTCTTCACATGATCCATTTTGCGAACACTTTTCAGCAGGCTAAAGGATGTCATGGGCTAAAACAGCTGCTAGCGGATTAAGAAAAAAGGTTACAGTGACATGGCAACTTCGCTGTCCATGTATTTTTGTTAAACTCTGTTTTATTCCTGAAGCTGAAAATAACCTTTATAATCTGGCAAAAAAAAAACATGAAACAAACTTCTCAGGTATCATGTCGTCACAAAGAACATTTGTCCTGTGGGGACAGGCTCAGGAACCCTAACTGCCAGAGGGAACCGCACCCCACGTGAGAAGGTGGCACGGGTCGGTGAAGTTCCAGCTCCTGTCGGGGCTGTCTGCATTCATGGAATTCCAGACTCAGCCCTGCCTCCTGAGGAAGGATGGGAACGGGAGCGAAGGAACATTCCACTGGGGGCCACTGGCCCAACTGGGAGGCTCCGAGAAAGGAAGATAAAAAGAGACTAAAAAGCCTCACTTTTGTGAATGTATCTATTTCTTTTTAACTTAAAAATATCCCTAGCCAAGCCTCAGTGCAGGAGGCCTTGATGTGTTTAAACTTTAAAACAAAACTACCCATTTAATATCATACATAGAATTAAAACATTTGGATGCATTTTATTAAGTGTTTATTTTTCCTACCCAAAAAGAGGCAAAAAATAAACAAACAAACAAAAAATACATATAGCCTATGTTGGGCTGGGAAAAAAGTCAGTCATGGATTTCTCCCCCTAAGATCTGATACTTTATTCTGTATCCTAGAAAACACTTAAAAGAAAATTGTACAACCGATTCTGCAAGTTCCAACTACCCCAAGGACCCCGCCTTGCAGTGCAACCCCGGACAAGTCCCCTACACTAAGGTTCGGGAGGCCCACCCTCTGCACAGCTTGTCTGCAAGCAACGCAAGTGCACGACCGCTACGCTAACACAGTGCTCGAAGAAGAGTGACCAGGACTCGCGTGACAGCTCCCTCAGGACACACACCGGAGGTAACCGCGGGATGCGTCGTCATCCTTTAGTCGGTAAAACTTGGCATCGAGTCTCTACGGAAAGATGCATCGGAAACACGCCTCTGCTGTGGCTGCTGCTACAAACAACTGGCAAAAATACTTAAAGCTAAAATTTATTGCTCCAGATTTAAGTCGCAGAACCATCCTGTTGTGTACAAACCGCTAATCTCCATAGATGCTCAGACGTGATTGTCTCCTCGTGTCTAAACACTCAAAATACAGGCTGCTATCTGTACAGTTTACAGTACCGAGACACACAGATTCCAGAACGAAGCATAGATATGTACTTTGCAAAGATACATGGTTTTACAGCAGGGGTTTACCCAAACTTATTTTTTACAGCCACTTTTAAAATAGACAATGACTTCACTAGAATAGCTAAATTACATCCAAGAAAGAATCAGTGTATTGAAAGGGAACAGACTGGCCAATTCCCCAAGCTCCCAAATTATTTTTATATGTCTTTTTTCTTTTCTTTTCCTTTTTTTTTTTTTTGAAGAAACCCCTATACATAAAATGAAAATAATATGTGGATATTTTCTTCAGTGGTGGACTAAGCAGTTTCTTAAAACAAGACATTAGTTTGCCCTTCACTTCCAAATGCCTTGAAAATAAGATATACTACTGCTTTAAAAGAACCATCGGAAAGCTTCGGCGCTGGGAACAGGTGTTCTCTATAAAAAAAGAGCAAGAAAACAAGGTAAGCTTTCTTTCTATGCCAAGATAAAATTAGACTTTTCTCCTTTACACTTCAGCAATATATTTAGTCAGTAATACACAACATAATGATTGGTATATTTCAACATTTAATAAAAAAAGAAATGTTCAATTTTAGAATGTTACAAAAATTAGGATATTGAATTTAATGCTAATTAACTGAATATAATGATTCAAACACATTGGTCTAAAAAACACAGGAAACACAGCCTAGAACAGGGCTAGCAGCAGAATAAAGGAGAGGTTCCAGCTGTTGACTCGTGGCAGGAAGGCCAGCCAGCAAGTTCCTTAAAGTCTCCATCTGCCACACACGCCCCATGAGAGGCTGACGGTTATAAAGCAAGGAAGCACTTGCTTTATTCTGGAGAATTTCTTTCATGGCAGGACTACAACAAACATTCCATCAGTATTACCTCTATCACTTAACAGTACTAATCTAAACATTCCTACGTACAATCTAATCAGAACTATTATGACAAAATATAGCACTATTTTAAAGTAACTGTGTTTTCAACAAATTAATGTCATATATGTGAAAAAATTTACATTAACCAATGATAGTCAATGGAGCATAACTATCCTTTTGTACCATAAAAATACTACAGTTTTCCAAAGGAGTAATAAGCTAGCACCAAAAGTATGCGCAATCCTCTTAACAGAAAGCTTACAGCTACCGTGGGTTTCTTTAAAGAGTAGTTAAGCTACTGAATTTTCCTCTATATGTTAGCATTACAGCAATTCATCACACCACACTCTTCTGTATAAAACAGTATCACATGAGTACATATCGGTACACGAGGTGCACAAGAAGCCAGGGAGGAGGAAATTCCCTAGAGGGGCGCCTGAGAGACAGCTGCCTTACCCCTCAGACCAGCCCAGCAGCTGAGTGGACTGTGAGGCGGCTGCTAAAAATAGATAAGCACATAAATTGGTATGTTGAATGTCACCAAAATATTGAGTAGGTATAGAAGAACACGTACACACACACACACACCTTGTAAACACAAAGACAACGTTAACAGCACTTGAATTTTATATTTCAGGAAATACATGAAAAATTCAACTGCAAACACTCTTTAATAATTGAGGTTAGCTTTTATTTACTTTCTTACACATAACTTATTTGCTTGACACAGTTCTACTGTAGTAATGTCATCTAAAAATAAAAGTGTATTAATTAAGATGTCAATTGAAATTTAAATGAATAAAACAACCATTTCTGAAAGCAAAGCTGCTTTCAGAATCTGTACTAAGAATAATTTTTAAAAAATTTTCCTCACAGTCAACATAACAAATTTCAAAATGACTGTGCTAAGAACTAACGATATCTAATCTAAGTTTGTGGATACTTATATACAAAACTACTTAACTTGTGAAGCATTTTCTGAAAGCACAAAAAGGTGTATTATTCCCCTTAAACAGTACTTATAAATATTTCACTCCTTACTCCTCCGATTCACCCCATTTTCTTCTCCAGCTCACTGCGGATCCCTATCATCTGATTTGGTTGGTGAGAAAAATACCTTTACCACTTTCTAAAATTAACCTTTTAATGATAAATTTAATAATTCTATATGTTAATTACATTTATTTAATAATTTTAAAGGAATGATATGAATCATTAAGAAACACAACATAGTCATTCTAATATTCATGTTTTACACACACACACACACACACACACACATGCAATAATTGAAAACTTAGTTTATACCAGATGCTAACTTGCTGCCTGATGCCAACTAAGAATAAATTTCATGTAAGTAGGCATACTTATATAAATGTAGTCATTTTTAACAAGTTAGATCCAAGCATATCCATGCAATTACAGATTCACAAATGAAAAATAAACATGTGCATATATATTCATAGATAGTCACATTTACGTGTAGAGTACATGACATGGAGATGCCAACCTCTTCTCAGATGCCAACTGGAAACACGGCTGTAAGTATACACTTAGATAATTTTGTATCTTGATAAACACAAGATAAACAGAAAAAATATATGGGGTCTTTTTTTTAAATGAGATGAACTCCTTATGTCTTAGATATATTTTTAAATCTCTTTTCCAACTCTTTGCTCTTCCTGTGCCCTTTCCACTGCTCAATGTTATTTTCAACATTCTAAAAAAGCAAGCTTTATAAAATGTCACTTGAGATCAAAGTTCATTGTTATAAGGAAATAGATTATCACTTCTCAATGCTTTTAGCACAAAAAATTAATTAGATAATGCAAATACGATAAAAGCAGAGAGCTGGTCTCCTATCCTAACACGGTCTGTCACAAAACAGCACTGTGACGTGTACATCGCACCATGCAGACACTGAGACCAGTACCGATGCTCACATACAAGGGTGCGGACAAGCCACTGCTGCAGGGGGAGAAAAGACAAGCAGGGAAGTATTTTTCAAAACTGATTTCTCTCTTTTATTAAGATCTTCGAGGTCATAAAGCCTAAAAATGATTAGTTGGCAAATCATCTAAAATATGTAAAAAAAACTTAGCAAAACCACTAGTGCATTAACTAGAACAAATTATCAAAACATTCACCAGAAATGTGAAGTGAGCGTCCTCTAACAGTTTTATTTCTGGGTTAAAAAAGTAACAAAACTCCTCAGTTCCACAGGTCACACAAACTCAAGATGCTTAGCGAGTCTCCAGCTCAGTTTTCATCCGGCTCCCTGGAAATCTACTTCAGGCCTGGACTAAGTTCTTGTCAAGATGGGTGAAGCAACCCTGTTTTCACAGGTACAGTATTGGGCTACATTACAGGTTTTTGATTAAGTCTATTAATTTGGGAACACGTCTTCTGTAATTTTGTCAGTGAATGAGGTCGTCTTGGTAAGAAGTCCTCTATTTAAACGGCGCTGGAGCTCAGCACACCGGCGCTTGGAGTCAGCACCGGACCAGCTGCCTTTGGGTTACGTAAATTCAAGAGTCGCGTTGGGGAATCACACTCCTGGTGAGATTATACTGACTCTGGATCTCACTGATGCTCACGGGAAATCGTTATCCTCAGTGACAGGAGAGCCAGACTCCCCAGGAAGGGAAGGGTGGAGGAAAAGGACAGATTGAGTCTACCAGCATTGCTTAACGCGGCCTTGGCTGCTCCTGGAGTGTGGACACAACACGGCGGCCTGCTCCCCAGGCCCGCGAGGAGAAGGCGGCGGGCTCACTCTGCTTCTGGCCGCTGGAAAGCGTCGCGTCCAAAGAATTCATGCCTACGTGAGCCAGACACAAGACTGTCAAGCTTACAGGAGGGCCTTCGGTTTCTCTCCTAGCTTTAAAAAGCGAGGCTATTTCCTTGAATAAAAGAATGACATAATCCAAGCCCAGGCAAATTTTACATTTACTCTTTAAAGAAAGGAATACAAAAATTACCAATATGTCTCTGGCAGAAATGTATTTCAGTTTGATTTTCATTAAATCAGCAATGAAGGAATAATTAAACAACCTACAATAAATAAGAATCCCAAAAGCTGCCACCTTCTGAAGTGGAGCACAATTTCCCTTTTTGGAGCCTGCTAAGCAGACGCGTGGGCTGTGGTATCGCCAGGCTGAGCTGGCGACCACGGCTCCCAGTCAAGGTAAGTCAAGTCTAACTGAAGTCACTTCCTACACGCTGGGAACAGGACCCCTACAACCCACATCTGTGAAGGTGAGTGGGACTGGCTACTCACACCTAGATACAAGAGATGAAATGCAGCACGACTCAGGACACGAGACGAAACGAATCACTTTCGATAAAGTGAGACGTGAGTTTGCAAGAGCCAACGAAAGACAACTCTGTGCTGAAATGCACTTCAGAATGCGTAGTCGTAAACTGAGACGATGACTATGACATCAGCAAATTCTGTAACCAAAGTTAAATACATCTTTCCAATATTTATTCATGTAGTTTCTAATCCCAAAATCTCAGTGATTCTCTCAGGCCCTCAGAATTCCACTGTGAAAGTGGACGGCGCTATGACAACCATTCCCAAGCTGAAGTCAGCATCTTGGGGTACCATTATTCTTACACTAATGCAAAAAATAACTTCCTATTTTCCCATTTATTGTTAATTAAAGAAATACGTCATCCAATCATTTTATGATTCCCATATAGTGATGTGAAATTGCTTTTTCCAACCAAAAGCAAAGCGATTTTGAACTGCACTAAGCCGACACAGCCTGTCGTGGCCTCCTGAAATCCTGCTCCCCTGTGAGGAGCCACCGCACGTGTCCTGACCCTGGGCACCTCAGGCCTTGAAATCGGACCCCTCCTCAAGTCCAGTCCAGCTCTGCACAGCAGAACCCGAAAAGCTCAATGAACCACTGAAATTCTGCATTAGGAAGTACGTGAATAAACATGACAAAGGATCACAGTAGGTCTCATTGCCTTTAGATATTCGACTATATTTTGTTTCAGTTTCACATGAAACTTTCAATCTTCAGGGTGTTTTGGATGAAGAAAAGGAAAAACATTCCCACTTGGAGAAATGGAAAATTGTATCATATATATAATACCGTGAATGTGAATACACACACACGCACATTAATACCAACCTTTGAATAATTAATAATTACGGTCTAAAATGATATCCAACAAATGTTAGAGACTTCTCAAAATGTTTATAGCAGAAATACTTTTCTATATCCTATTTATAAATGATATATTTTAAAAATCATAGTCAAGTAACTATAATAGAATTATTAGTAAGCACAGGTTAGCACAGGCTAGTAAGTCTGAGAGCAATTAACTTATGATGAATGATCATCTCACAGTCCAATAATATACTGTAATTATAATGAAAACAACTTTATATTTTAATAACACCTCAATTTAAAAATATGTGGATTAATACATGTAAGTATACACTGCTTCTGCTTTTTACTTTCTTGCTTTCTCCTTCTGTCCTGCTGTAATACGGACGTATCATATATGTGACGAAGGTCAAATCACTTTTTCTCTTAATTCAGATTCATTTAGCATATACCTGTGGAAGTCTTTGCTTTAACTCACATCTTATTTTGGCCATTATTCAGATGTGAACTGAAAGCAACTATGAATATTACCACGAACTGGAATATTAGACCCCTCTTTAGAGGAAAGAAAGCACCAAATAAGTAACTGGATAATGTTTAGGAACCAAGCTTTTAGAGGCCTAAAACATGATGATAAGGAGCATTCCCCCTTTTTGGGTTACAAACGGACATTTGTGGCCAGGATCTCTCTGATTAATGGTGGAGAACGGGAGATGGCTTTTTCTTGCGTATTGACTTTCTGTGGGTTGTTGCTCCTGCTGTTCCTTCGGCCTCGAGAACACGAGGGCTCCCCCTCTCCCTACCCCACCCCATGGGCACACCACCCTCCCCACGGCCACTGTGACGGCCTGACTGTAGAAGGCAAGCGGGGCTCGCTTCTGTAAATGGAAAGATGAGGTTACAAATTATGTCCCAAAGCCGCTAAGTCAATTCAACATGGTGGTCGAGCCAGAGAGGAAAAAAGCCGTCCAAAGGGGAATCCACGTCTGGGGCTGGCTGCATCACGCAGGGAGGGAAGTAACAGATTAACACGAGGATTCACGCTGGTCCAGCATGACCAAAGGGCGCCCACCCTTGGCTCTGCTCTCTACTGTCACCACTGGATGTAGGCGGGTCCCCTGACTAAGGCTGCAGGAGACGGTATTGCAAACAATTTTGGGAAAAACACTTCAAACCACTTCATTTCAACAAATGAGTAAATTTATTATGTATAAATGGGTAGTTTAGTGATTAAAAGGTTCTTGGACATACAAAAATAAACTATAATAGGATGGTGCCCAGGTAAGCAGAAAGAGGAAAAGTTTTCAAGATCCATAAATTAAAAAGGTGTTTTTGAAAAATTACTTTATATATATATAATATATTATTTTTAACCTTACGTATAAGAGGAATTGTGAAAGGAAATTAAAAGTAAAATTGAGATCAAAAAGGCAAAAGTTAGGTTAATAAAATCAATACTATATTGTCAAGAATGATTAAAGTATTTAGAGTTCATTTTATATATGTCCATATGTTTATATGTCTTTTATGGATATACATGTATAAATGGTCATGTGATAGATGAATCTGAATGAATATATGTACATATATGGCAGAGACAAAGGTTAAATAACACGTCAGTCCACTAGCTCCTGTCGGGAGAATGGTGCCTCCAGGTGAAATGGCTGCAACCAGCTACTGGAAACAATCGCTTTCTTTCCATGACCAGTTGCTGAGCGATTTTGAAAATTTTGGTTAATTCTAAAGCAGGCAGTGAACTGTCTCATTGTTTTATTGGCGAGAAGAAGAACCATTCATGTAGAAGGTGAGGAAATGCGAGGTCATTTAAAAAACATGAAGAGGTGATTTTTAGAACTATGGAAGCTATGATTTGGACAGCTTCCACCTCATACTCAAATAAAATACAGCAGTTACCCCACCTCTAGAAGCAGTTCAAACTATGGTGCTTCTCTTTGATTATTATAGATCTGAGAACCTGAGAAATATTCATTTTTTCTATACCATATAAAAAGTGAAAATAAGTTTAATGAATTTCTTCTCTTAAGCTAAGTTCTATAACATGGTGGATGCAGTCGCTGAACTTCACTTGGTCCAGAATCTTCCATCACAAAAGTCCAACCACTGAGACAGATCCAGCCTTGAGACCAAAGCATGTTTTATGTCCACGAAGTACTTAGAGGAATTCAGAGAAAATCCCAAACATTTCAGTTAATTGGATGCTATCCTCAAAATAATGTACTTGGTTAAAATTAAATTTCTAAGAATAATATGTACCTTTTGGAGTATTTCTAATTTTTTTAATAACTGCAATTGCCATCACAAGGAATGCTCAGATTCACAATCATTCTGACCTTTTCGTCACTCTCCTTAATTTTGTTTTTAAATAATAAAAGTAAAAGGTACACAGTCAACAGTGGTTAGAATTTAATTTTATCAAGATGTTACACGTTACTTAGCTCTTTAGAGTGAGATCACGGTTGGCCTCCCTCATTAAGAGGACAGACACTCTCAACGTCATCCAGGACCAACATCAGCACATCTGATGCTGGAGCAAGACCTGAGGCTCTAGACTCAAGCTCTCCTCAGGGAATGTCACGTACTTCTTCTTTTTCCCCGAGTATCACGGGCTCCATCTTTGTGTAAACGTAGCCACTTTCACATAGTTAACTAACGGCAGAGTAAATTAAAAAGCCTAAGGTTTTTTTGGCATAGAATTTAGAAGCTGTAGGGATTAATATTCTTTTCATCATTTTTCTGGAGTCTTTTCTACATGTGCAATTCTGTATTTTCCAGGAAGACTTCCTTACAAGCACTTAAAAATGACACACATTTGTGAACAGCTAGCTGCTTATGGATGTTGGATGACTTCTGTCTCGATAAACACCATCATTAAGGTTGACCATTAGTTTTCCCATCCTGGCCTTTCTGTTTCTAATTGCAGACTGGAAAGAGTTTTTCTGTCTTTTTCTTTTTTCTGTGAGTAAGATTGGCCCTGAGCTAACATCTGTGCCCTTGTTCCTCTGTTACGTATGTGGGATGCCTCCACAGCATGGCTTGACAAGTGGTGCACAGGTCCACACCTGGTAACTGAACCTGTGAGCGTGCTGAACCCAACCACTGCACCACTGGGCCAGCACAAAGGAATTATTTTAAAAATAAATTAAAAGAAAAAAAAAACTAGTTAGTTTCCCTGAAAGCATTTTTTTTCCACTACAGTAAATGAAAAGAAACAATGATGAATGCTTCCAGCAGGTCTAAGGCCAGACTCGTGGCATCTTTCCAAAAATTTTGAGACATTAACCATTTCCACTAATTTCTTATTTAAACCAGATTCAAGAATACGACCTTGAGCAGGACAATCCTTTCTGCCAACATCTCCTTCCTGACTTTCCTTTAATATGTAACACTAGTCTGCCCTCCCTGCCTCCTCCCTGGTCCCCATCCCTCGTCCACTTCCCCCTCCCTCCCCTCCTCCTCTCTTCCTTCCTCCCTTGCTTCCTTCCTTGCATTTCTTTCTCTCAATAAAACTCTTTCTCTTATTCAGGTCAAACAACGGTTTCCAGCACTTTGTAAAATATGCTTGAAAGAACAAGTCATACCATAGATTCTCCGTACGTTTAAATGTTCAAGGCAAGTACTTTTTCTCCTCATCCCTCAACCATTCTGGAGCACTAAGAGAAAACACAGCTGCACCACG